AGCATCTTCATCTTTAGTGATGCTCATCACTGCTTATGTCTTAAAAAGTCTTATCAGCTACCTTTGTATTACAAGCAAAATCTGCTATTACTCATTAATTGATCTAATAAATTAATGATTTACTAAATTTATTAGCTCATTAATTTTTTGTATTCCTTTGATTGTTACAGAATCAGTCAAGACCTGGCTAAGGATCTGGCCATGTTAGCACGTGAGATACATGACGTTGCCGGAGAGATTGACTCCGTTAGTCCTTCCTCTGCTCCCGCAGCTTCAGTGAGAATACAACAACATCATTACCAGAGCCTTCCATATTTATATGGACCATTTAATTCTTTGGTGCCTGTAGAGATCTATATCAATACATATCGACAAGTCTGTGAAGGACTTTGGTTTTGCATGCTGTGCATTGTTCACATAATTAATTCAGTAGTTAATTAAATGTGTGCTGGCATGTTGATGGTTTAAGAGATCATGATCCAATGCTATTATTTTGAGTATAGGATAATAGGACAATAATGCATGTAGGTGGACATGCTTTGACAGTAGTATGTTCTATAATCAGTGATATAAGCAATCATCTTGCTGCCTCTCTCAGGCTGAGGACCGTGTGTTTGAGGATGTTCTGGGCAGCGCTCCAGAGATCAGTGGCAGAGGTGTGGAACTAAGACATCGTGGTGCTATCAGCAGTCAGGATTCCCGCGCCATCCGCCGCAGGACCTGGAGCAGAGAGGAGGTAAATCTTCTAAATCTCAAAAATCTTACAGCTTGCACCCTGTTAGTTAACATCATGAGTAGACTGTATCTGTTACTGGAAGTTCCAATTTATTTTGTTGCTTATGTTCCACAAGAGGGCGCTGTGTTTATTTTTTGTCATAACAGAAAGCGGAATCTTGACATGTGTCTCGGAATGCACCTTATTTCTTATAGTGACAGCATAACAAAAGTGCCACTCTCTGCTTATTCTGCATTCACAGGGTGTGCTGGACAGTTTGCTGATGGCATCAGTCTCCCAGCTCTCAGCAAAAATCAAACAGGCCGTGGAAAAGACAGCCAACAAAATCAGGTATCCAGCTCAGTATACTGCCCCCTCCCCCCCAATTTGTTTTTGCATGGCTTTAGTTTTTATAAAGGCTGTGAATGCAACATGTTAAATTAGTATCATTCTTTTTTTTTTTTTTTTAAGAAAAACCTAATGCTATAATTTCTTTTTATATTTTCTTCATTTATTGTTTAATCAGTTTGATTTAAAAATGTAGACAGTTGAATGTCCCTTTTTATTAAAATCTTTGCATTTTATGTACAACCTAAACTCAATTTAAGGGAATATTTATGATAATGTTCCTTGTGCATCTTTGACCTTGACTTGATATGCTTTTATACAATTGTACAACATTCATAGTTTTAGTTCTGGAAGCTCTTTTGGAAGGCCACACATTCGATTTATTACTGTTCATGCAGGATTTTATTCAAAGACAAGGATCGAAAGTGGGAGGAGATTGAAAGCAAACTGCAGGCAGAGAATGAGGTGCTTCTCCTCAAGACCTCTAATCAGGTAAGAATATATATATTTTTTAACAATGGTAAAATAAAATATTTATTTATTTCCAGATATATATTTATGTATTCTTAAATAATCCCCAAAATTTATGAAAAATATTTCATTATATGCACAAGTATATGTACAGTATGTACAGTAAGTGTGCTACACGTTTTGGTAGAAACGTTGGGTATGACCTATATTTATGATAATGTTCCTTGTGCATCTTTGACCTTGACTTGATATGCTTTTATACAATTGTACAACATTCATAGTTTTAGTTCTGGAAGCTCTTTTGGAAGGCCACACATTCGATTTATTACTGTTCATGCAGGATTTTATTCAAAGACAAGGATCGAAAGTGGGAGGAGATTGAAAGCAAACTGCAGGCAGAGAATGAGGTGCTTCTCCTCAAGACCTCTAATCAGGTAAGAATATATATATTTTTTAACAATGGTAAAATAAAATATTTATTTATTTCCAGATATATATTTATGTATTCTTAAATAATCCCCAAAATTTATGAAAAATATTTCATTATATGCACAAGTATATGTACAGTATGTACAGTAAGTGTGCTACACGTTTTGGTAGAAACGTTGGGTATGACCTATATATATATATATGTGCTGCATTACTGGAAAGTGCAAATTATCTTCCTTGTTTGTTAGTCATTTTGGATAAAAGCATCGTCAAAGTGAATAAATGTACATTTAAACGTAGGGGTCTGAGGACTTGGACAGGTTTTTTTTTTTTTTTGGAACGAGATTGATTATTCTTCCATTGACCGTGAAGCTGTCCTGATGTTTTGGTAGATTTCAGAGTTCATACATCACAGCCGCTTCAGCTGAGGATCTCTCAGCTTAATTAGACTGAGCTTTTGACTCATGGTTTGTCACGGTTCAGATTAGGTTTGAGGCGCACCACCTCTGCTCAGTGACAGGCCAGTAAATCTAACGCTGTAATGCAGGCTGGCCTGAACTGAACTCTTGGAACTTCTGAAATGAAGAAGCTGTTAAGCAGTGGAAGAGCACAAACACCACGACGATCAAATTGAACATTCTCGATTTACAGTGCTATGATATTTATATGAGTTTGACCAAAATCATGTCAGTGTTACAAAACTGAATTAAACAGCTATAGCAACATTATTTTAAAAAAGTTCATAAAAAGTTTGAAAAAGTTAATTTGCTTGTAACTAAGTTCTGGCAGCATATGATGGTTTTCTATTGAGTCTTTTTTATTTGATGACTCTCAGGAGATTTCCTCCATACTCCAGAATCTGAAAAGAGTGGAACGACAGCTGCTAGGTAAGCAGTACTGAGGTGTTCTTGTCTTGTTCCTTTTAATGTCTACCATGCAACATCCTCCTGAGACCCAACAAAAAAAAAGTTTTTGGTATTTAGTGTCATTATACTGTAACTTTGTGTATAATATGATGTGGAAATAAAGTGATTTTAAGTCATGCAGTTTTTTCCAGCCCTCAGATAACTTTATTTGGCATCATTACCAAACCATTAAGTTTATTATTATTAAAATCTACCATTATCTACCGTTCAAAAGTTTGGGGTTGGTAAAAATTTTGGATTATTTAATGTTTTTTAAAGAAGACTTATGCCCACCAAGGCTGCATTTATTTGATCAAAAATACAGTAAAAACTGTAATATTGTGAAATATTATTACAATTTGAAAGAACTGTTTTCTGTTTGAATACATTTTTAAATTTGATTTATTACTCTGGTGGTAAAACTGAATTTTCAATAGCCATTACTCCAGTCTTCAGTGTCACATAATGTTTCAGAAAACTTTATGTTTTGGGCTTATTTTTTCTTTTGCCCTTTTTTCTGCATTTTTCTATGCACTATAGACATACAGTATATGTATAAAGTACTGTTCTTCTTTCTATAACATTTTCTTGTTTGAGATGTCATATTTAAAGGCAAAGGAGAAGAATTTGTCATAACTAAACCCCCATATACAGTATGACCACAGAATTTCCAACTCCACAATTTCTTCAAGATACAGTGGGACTTCAAATGTGTGATGATATATTTATAGTTTCAGAGAAATTCACTTAACACCAATGTTCATCCACAGAGTCTCTATCCTGAAACGTTCCCAGGAGTATAGATCCAAGGGTTGATTCTTTGTTTGTCTATTTATTATTTGACTGAATGATTAATTGTCCTTAGTTGCCTTGGTAAATCAGATATATCAGATATACAAGATACTCAATAAATATATTTTTCTTGAACTCTCAATCCCCAGTGATTGATATAATGGTGGACCCTGATGGCACGTTGGATGCTCTAAGCAGTCTGGGTCTGACCAGTCCACTTATGGCTGAGAACAGAGTTAGCCCTGGGTCACAAGGTCCAGCTGGCATCCAGGCTGTGGACGTATCCACGAGTACGGCAACACTGCCCTCTGCCTACTCAGAGGTTGCAGAACGAGATCTTGGCCTGCAGGAGAGAAGCAAAGAGCAGAACACTGCCGATCAAAGCTAAATTACTCTGAACAGTTTACACTGAGATCCTGCACTGGTTTCCAAAGGCCAGGTCAATGGGACTTTTATGTGAATAATGTGAGGTATGTTGTAAAACTTCCTATATGGCACTGCATTTAAAAGTTTGCTTCATAAATTCTATGTATCCATGGACGTATTTTCAAAAATTAAAGAAAATATTTGGAAATATCTATCAACTGTAACATCCCGTAGAATTACTGCACACAGGCATTAATTATTGTGAATGTTCGTCTTACTAATCGGCAGTACTGTATATGTGCCCAGAAAGATACTGACTGTTGAACAGGAAGTGAATTGTGAAAGTGTTAAGCTATGATTTACCAGAAACTGTGTTCATGCTGTGCATTGTCACGTGTAACTCTTTACTCAAAGGGTTCAAAATTAACACTCTTCATGCGCCAAACTGACCAGTTTAATGGTATTTTTATCAGGCCAGGTGATATGTGAAAATAATGTTAACTTTTTCATAAAAGCATGAAATTTGGTACACTTTTATAGTTTGCGGCCCTAAACATTTTCAGAAATGGAGCCATTGCAAAAACACCTTGTGGTTGCCATGGCGACCATTTTACTTTCTGCCATAACCAAATTATGTATTTTGTGTCATAGCTCCTGAACCAAACATGATAACACAGAAAAGGTGATGTCTACCCCTATGTTTTGATGGTCAAGGATTACAATGATACCATAGACAAAAACATAAACTGTTCAGGTGAAGAGTTAATGGTGAAATCAGCAATGTGAGAAGGAAATAACAGTATCTGAGCATCATAGTATCACAGCATTTACAAAAGTCCATATTATGGCTATTATTTTTTTACTTCTTTGATAATTAACTAATATTTTATTCAATAATACATTAAAAGATTGTTTTCAAGAATACTATCATATATTTCAGAGATATAAAAACAAATTATCTCAGGTAAGTGAATTTATCCTTACCTCTCAGGCAGAGTCAGGTGGTAGTGTGTTTCCAATACATTCTTGTTCTCTCTCAACAACGCTCTAACATCAAACGCAGACGGCAACGCAATCAGGTGAACAGTTCATGTTTAATTCCATGACTTTATGAGAAGGATTACAATGAAATCTCAGAAGATGCAGAAAAAAATTTCAAACATATTTCATGTAAACTTAATTTACAATCACTCTGTGGGGCCAGAGTTGTCTATTATGTTGTCCTCAAGGGGGAAGCCAGAGTCCTGCATGTGGGCGGGTGCATGCAGGTGAACCGCTAATATTCGATGTAACAGGTGGAATAATATTTATGTGTAGGGTTTGGTGTGGGTGCGGGCCGGACGGTGACAAGCACAGGTGGGTTGCGGGGTCCAATAACCAAGACTATTTCGACTCAGTCCAGTACACGCTGAGCAATGTAGCCAATCGCGCTGACACTAATTGACAGCTGTAGTGATTATATTAAAGGATGCACTCTTTGCTTGCTTTCTGTGTTTAATCTATTCACAATTTGAATAAAAGTTTTAATAAATGAGTTTTGTCTACCTCATGTAGGAGATTTAATGCAGGTGTGGTTCGGGTCCCAGTTTTTATGTCAAATGGGTTGGGTATGGGGTTAAATTAGTGCTGCTGTCCGATAACGTGTCGGATGTTCTGTTAATTACTGCAATTGTGGGAAGATCATTTCACCAGCCAGGAAAGGTGAAAGAAAATGCCTCTCTGTGATGTTACCACAAGGCATCGTTTACTTACAGATCTCAGGCTTCTGGAGGGGATGTAGATTTGTAAGAGTGAGGAGGACGTAGGAGGGGGCTGAGCCTGTGGCTGTTCTGTATGCAAACATCAATGTCTTGAACATGATATGTGGGCGGGTGCATGCAGGTGAACCGCTAATATTCGATGTAACAGGTGGAATAATATTTATGTGTAGGGTTTGGTGTGGGTGCGGGCCGGACGGTGACAAGCACAGGTGGGTTGCGGGGTCCAATAACCAAGACTATTTCGACTCGGTCCAGTACACGCTGAGCAATGTAGCCAATCGCGCTGACACTAATTGACAGCTGTAGTGATTATATTAAAGGATGCACTCTTTGCTTGCTTTCTGTGTTTAATCTATTCACAATTTGAATAAAAGTTTTAATAAATGAGTTTTGTCTACCTCATGTAGGAGATTTAATGCAGGTGTGGTTCGGGTCCCAGTTTTTATGTCAAATGGGTTGGGTATGGGGTTAAATTAGTGCTGCTGTCCGATAACGTGTCGGATGTTCTGTTAATTACTGCAATTGTGGGAAGATCATTTCACCAGCCAGGAAAGGTGAAAGAAAATGCCTCTCTGTGATGTTACCACAAGGCATCGTTTACTTACAGATCTCAGGCTTCTGGAGGGGATGTAGATTTGTAAGAGTAGGAGGGTGCTCAGCCTGTGGCTGTTCTGTATGCAAACATCAATGTCTTGAGCTTGATGCTAGCTGCAAACAGTAGTCAGTGCAGAGAGGTGTGAAGTGGGCCCTTTTGGGCTCATGGAAGAGTAGTCGTGCCGGTGCATTCTGAAACATTTGTCGAAGTTTGATTGCGCCTGATGGAAGTCCAGCTAGAAGAGCATTGCAATAGTCCAGCCTAGAAATGACAAGGGCCTGGACAAGAAGTTGTGCAGCATGCTCTGTTTGGAAGGGCCTGATCCTCCTGATGTTGTGCAATGCAAACCTGCATGCTCGAGCTGTCTTTACAATATGATCCTTGAAGATCAGCTGGTCACCAAAAAATTATTTTTGATTAACCTAGCAGGATGATGAAATCATGCTGTAGAGTCGAAGTGGCAGGGAAAACAAGAAGCTCAGTCTTAGCCAGGTTGAACTGCAGGTGATGTTCATCAGCATAGCAATGGTAGTAGAAACCATGTGCTTGTATAATGGGTCCCAGTAATGTAGTGTATATGGTGAAGAGGAGGGGTCTAAGAACTGACCCTCGAGGAAACCCTGTGGCCAGTTGATGTTCTTTGGGTACCTCTTCTCCCCAGGAAACCCTGAAACACCTACCTGTGAGATAAGATTCAAACCAGCGGAGTGCAGAACCGGTGATGGCAGACAGGATAATCTGATGATTCACAGTGTCAAAAGTGGCAGATAGATCCAGCAGAATAAGAACTGATTATTTGGAATCAGCTTTCGCTATCTGCAGGGCTACAGTGACCGACAGCAAAGCAGTCTCAGTTGAATGGCCGTTGCTGAAACCTGATTGGTTAAAGTTCAGTTGGTCATTCTGTGAAAGAAATAATGTAACTATGTGTCTATAAAGTTGTGAACTAAATAGTCCATTCCATTAAAATAATAAAGGAACAGCATTCCTCAGGAACATCTTGTAGATTGCAGGATCTCCAGCGGGAAGGTCCTAACAGTATTGTTTCTAGCCCTTTTGTCTTCAGGTATAAAGTTATGTCCCACAGAAGCTAGGATTCATACAAGGGTAAAATTGTTTGAAGGAAGACATGCTAACATCACTATTAAATAACTGCTACACTACCATCTTCAATAAATTTTTCTCCCCACAAAAATTTTGGTAAAGCCTACTTAATTTTTTGTATTAGAGTAATCTAGTACATTGGTGAGCCACCCAAAAGACTGCTCTGCAAAAATACAATAAAGATGATGATACATGGGGCAACTTTTTAAGTTAGAAGGGGTATTTTAGAACTTTGGGAGAACATAGGATTCATACAAGGGTAAAATTGTTTGAAGGAAGACATGCTAACATCGCTATTAAATAACTGCTACACTACCATCTTCAATAAATTTTTCTTCCCACAAAAATTTTGGTAAAGCCTACTTAATTTTTTGTATTAGAGTAATCTAGTACATTGGTGAGCCACCCAAAAGACTGCTCTGCAAAAATACAATAAAGATGATGATACATGGGGCAACTTACAAGAAGTTAAAGTGGATCATAAAGTGTCAGTTGCTGTATTTACATCCAGAGATGAGAAATGGGTGGGTGAGGGAAGAGAGGATGACACTACAGAGGAAAGATGGAAGGGTGAAAGGGAGCATAGGTTTTGCCTAAAAGTAACTGGTAGAGGAATTGGTGGAACACAGGTAGTAATACAGTATGTAGGTTAAATGTAATAAAGAAATGAGCAGAGATGTCTAGAGGTTTTACCAAATGTTACAATTGTATGTGTAAATTAAGTCAAGCTGGTTGCCTGATTTGGTAGTGCTTGTGGTGGTGAGCCATTTGAGATCAAATGAAGCTAAGAGTGGAAGTGGAAGTTTGCAGTGTAAGGCTTCTCCAGATGGATTTCGAAGTCACCAAAGACTACAAGGGGACTGCCATCTACAGAGAATGAGGACAGCAGCCCATACAGCTCCTCTATAAAGGTGCCCAGTTGACCAGGAAGGCGATAAATCATTACAATATGGTGTTTAACAGGAGCTGTTACCGTAATAGAATAATTGAGTATTTCCAATTATTAGAAATGAGAAGACCAGTACCCTTCCAACCTGACAGGGGGTGTGAGAGAAAGGGACGTTGTTAGAGAGAACAGCAGGGGTTGCGGTGTCTTTTGGACGAATCCAGGTCTCAGTCAAGCCCAAGATACTAAGAGTACACTGAGAAGCAATGGCCAGAATGAAGTTTGTTGACAACTGACTGACAATTCCAGAGACCCACAGAAAATGACAGAAGTGCAGCAGAAGAGGTAAGGAAGGCGATAAATCATTACAATATGGTGTTTAACAGGAGCTGTTACCGTAATAGAATAATTGAGTATTTCCAATTATTAGAAATGAGAAGACCAGTACCCTTCCAACCTGACAGGGGGTGTGAGAGAAAGGGACGTTGTTAGAGAGAACAGCAGGGGTTGCGGTGTCTTTTGGACGAATCCAGGTCTCAGTCAAGCCCAAGATACTAAGAGTACACTGAGAAGCAATGGCCAGAATGAAGTTTGTTGACAACTGACTGACAATTCCAGAGACCCACAGAAAATGACAGAAGTGCAGCAGAAGAGGTACAGATAGGACGCAGCTTAGCAAGATTGCAGTGCCATCTGCGTTTGATGTTAGAGCGTTGTTGAGAGAGAACAAGAATGTATTGGAAACACACTACCACCTACCTGACTCTGCCTGAGAGGTAAGGTAAAATACACTTACTTGAGATTATATCTCTGAAATAAATGATTGTATTCTTGAAAACAATCTTTTAAAATTATTTTAAAGTTATTTCCTTCTCACATTGCTGATTTCACCATTAACTCTTCACCTGAACA